TTCTCTACTTGATTTTGGTTATATCTCATGAATCCATATTCATTTTGGAATTTGATTGATGATTTCAAAGTGAAATTGAGGGTGTTAGAGTTTGAGTTTTAAAGAGTTTTAAGTAAGGATTTGAGGGCCAAACGGAGTCTGATTTTGATAAAATTTATATCGTTAAACTCGGGAGAGGAAGAGATCTATTATTCTGTCATTTTTGACTGGTTTCGAGATATGGTCCCGAGGATCGGGTTTTGGCCGGTTTCAGATTTTTGGCCTATTTATATAGTTTTTATTGTGGAATTCGATTCTTTAGCCTATGTTAATAGTATTATTCTGATTATGGATAGATTCGGAGCTCTTGGAGACTGAGTCGAGGGACGAGGACATCCCGGAGTAGGATTTTACGCTGTTGAGGTAAGTAACAGTTTTAACTCTGGCCTTGAGGGTATAAACCCGGAGAATTTGATATCACGTGATTGTTTAGAGGTGATACCCATGCTAGGTGACGAGTGTGTACGTGTATACTCCGAGTGATTGAGACTTGGTCCGTTCGGTAGGCCATCATCTGTGTTTATATAGTTACTTGTTGTTGAACTTGTCTGCCTTCACGTTAGAGATCATGTTTAGGCTTCATTCATGCTCACATTATTTGTGCTCAGTCATAGAAATTATTGTACATGTTTACCTCAATCTCTATTATTTTGTTGATATATAGTGATACTTGATGTGGATGTGTCTCCTTATTGGTGGTGCATTGTGAGGCTGGAGAGGTATATGACTGAATGAGGCCGAAGGCTTGGTTGTGAGGATATTAATACCAGTGCGTGAGCTGTACGCGTAGCACGTGAGCTAATCGTGCAGGTTCAGGTATTGATATCATATAGCGTGAGCTGTCCGCGTAGCACGTGAGCTGACCGTGCGGATCCAGGTATTGATATTATGGCACGTGAGTTGTCCGTGCTTAGCGCTTGGGCTTTGGGAGCCTCTCCGGAGTTTGTACACACCCCCAGTGAGCACAGAATGTTCAGTGTATTGAGTGTTGAGTGCTGAGTGCGAGTGTTGAGTGATGGAGTGACATTGCTGTGAGGTTGCATTTACTTTTGTTGTTGCTTCATTTATCTGTTAAATTTTTGTGTGGTATTTACTAAGTTATGGAATTTACCTGATTATTTCTTTTTATTTTTAAATTGTGAAAATAAATAATTGGACTGTTTTACTTAGCTCATATCTACAACTCAGTTCCTTAGTTATTTCCGTTACTACTGAGTCGGTTGTACTACTTAGTTATTTCAGTTATTTCCCTGTACTTTATGTACAGATCCAGGTGAGTCACAGCGCGGTGATCGTTGAGTTCAGGTCGGCTATCTGTGGAGATTGCAAGGTAGCTGCTAATGTCCGCATGACCTTGTTACTCATCTTGTCATTTCTTCTTTTGGACAGTTAGACAGTTTATATATCTTAGTTTATAGTTTTAGACGCACAAGACTTGGTGACATCCCGATGTTTGGGGCTTGTTTCCGTATTTCATATTGATTATATTCAGACTTGATTTAGTGTGAGAAATTTAAATGTTGAAAATATTTTATTAAATTCTTATAATCGATTTAGTAGTAATATTTTTGGAAATAGGTTTGCCTTGTAACACGATAGGTGTCATCACGACCTAGGTTGAATTTGGGGTCGTGACAAAATGCATATTTTACATTGGATAAAATTATTATTTAATTATTTTTCTAAATATATAGAAATGGAAGTTAAGCTAGACGGACAAGCTATGCGAACAAGGGTAAATGTGGTATTGTAGTTGTTATCAAGGGCACTATGGTAAAGCACCAAAAATTGAATTCTCAAAATAGAAATTTAATTCTGATTCAACATGTGAACTGCTTTATGATATACCTCTCCAACTCCTACGCGTGTACTTCTCTTGACAAGCAAGTGTCCCCCCCCCCCCCCCCCAGAACTAAATGGCCATTAGCTAATTCTATCAGTGTGATGACCCAAAAGGTCATAACTTGTTTTAGAATTAAATTCTATATTCTGAGGCCCTAAAACCTCCCTTTTGTCTCACCTTGATTTGTGTGCGCAATCCGGACGTGTATCTGGAAAGCCATTATGTGAAAATCTGTGAAAAATAATGAATCTTGCTTTTAATATAAAAGGACCCGGACCCGTGATTTGACAATTTTGGAGGGTCCGTAAGAAAATATGGGACTTGGGCATATGCCCGGAATCGAATTTCAAGGCCCCAGCCCGAGAAATGAATTTTTGAAAAAAATTGTTTAACTGAAAATTTTAGAGTTTTTGGAAATTTGAACGTAATTAAATTTGATGGTATCGGGCCCGTATTTTAGTTCCGGAGCCTGGTACAAGTCTTATATATGATTTAAGTTGAGCCTGTAAAATTTGATAAGAAACAGACTTAAAATGACGTGAATTGGACCCTCGATTGTGAAATTTGAAACTTAAGTGTTCTTGAGATTTTCTTTTGAATTTGATGCTAAATTCCTTGTTAAAGGTATTAATTTTGCAATTTGATCGCACGAATAAGTCCATATGATATTTTTGGGTTAGTATGCATGTTTGGTTTGGAGCCCCGAGGGCTCGGGTGAGTTTCGGATGGGTTTCGGGAAGTTTTTAAACTTAGGAAAGTTGCAGGTTTTGCTGTCTCAGGTGCACCGAGGTTTTGTTCTTTGCATTCACATGGTACCACTCGCGAACGCGTAAGGAAAACTTCCTCAGATGCTAGTTTGTTCTTCGCGAACGTGGAGCTTAGGACGCGAACGCGAAGCTGAGGGAGGAGTACCCTTCGCGAACGCGTTCAGGCACTCGTGAACGCATAAAGTTAGTGGCTTGGGGGAGGGATTTCACATTTGTTCTACGTGAATGCGGCCATATGACCACGAACGCGAAGTCTTTACGAGCTAAAGCTCCACGAACGCGAACCGTCAAACGCAAACGCAATGGTCAGTTGGGCCTAACCCATCGCGAACGCCACAGGCCTATTGCGAATGCAATGAAGGCCTGCCCAGTCATTTTTAAAACAGCAGCAAAAACGGACAGAATCCATTTACTTCATATTTTCAAAATTGGGAGCATTGAAGCGATTTTCAAAAAACAAGTTCTTCCCTAAAGCACTGGTATATGATTCTACACCTTTTTCTTTCGATTTCCCATTGCATTTCATCAATTTTCATTCAAAAATCTTGGGTTTTTATGGTAGAAATTAGGAATTTGTGTAGAGTTAGGGCTTTTTGATTAAGTGAAATTTAGACCTCGTTTTGGGGTCAGATTTCAAAACTAATTTCTTATTTGGGCTCGTGGGTGAATGGGTGATCAGGTTTTGGTCTGAACCTCGAGTTTCGACCAAGTGGGCCGGGGTCAATTTTTGACTTTTTGGGGAAGATGATATAAAACCTATAATTAAGCATTGGGTATGAATTCTTTAGCATTTATTGATGTTGTTAAATTAATTTGGGCTAGATACAAGTAATTTAGAGGCGAATTCTAAAGGAAAAGCGGTGTTTGAGACTTGAGTTGGTTGTGGAAGTTTGAGGTAAGTGTTTAGTCTAACCTTAGCTTGAGGGATTAGGAGTTGTGTCTTATTTGCTATGTGTTAATTGTGGAGGACGTATAGGCATGGTGACGAGTATCTATACGTCAGTGTCAAGCATGCCCGTGAGTCTCGTATAGCAATTGTGGTGAATCCATTGTGATTTATTCATGCTTAATATGTTGTTCATCATGGCTGGTTCCCTTGTCGGGATGTTGTTATTATACTCTTGTTCTCTTGCCGGGATGTTATGGTTTAGGATATTGTCTCCCTTGTCGGGATGTTATTGTTATGACATTGTATCCCTTGCAGGGACGTTATTGTTTACGATATTGTCTCCCTTGCCGAGATATTGTTTTTGTACTCTTGTGCCCTTGTCGGGATTCTTTGTGATTGATGTTGACTTGTAAATGGGATCGGGCCGCATGCCGCCACAGTGATATTTTAAATGGGAGCGGGTTGCACGCCTGCAACAAGATATATGAAATGGGAACGGGTTGCATGCCTGCAACGAGATATATGAAATGGGAGCGGGTTGCACGCCTGCAATGAGATATATGAAATGGGAGTAGGTTGCACGCCTGCAACAAGATATATGAAATGGGATCGGGTTGCACGCCTACAACGAGATATGTGAAATGGGAGCGGGTTGCACGCCTGCAACAAGATATATGAAATGAGATCGAGTTGCACGCCTGCAACGAGATATGTGAAATGGGATCGGGTTGCACGCCTGCAACAAGAAAGGAATGAAAGTGAATATTATGTTTGTTTTCCTTATTTTTGTTGGCATTTAAATGTTGGTTTCTTTACATTCCTATTATGATATTCTGTTGTTATTTGGTCCTCCCCGTAGCATGTTTCTGCCTCCTATCTCTACTGTGAATATTTGCTTTTATTTTTCGTTGTATATGATTTAACTGCACATGTTTATTTAGTAGTCTGGTCCTAGCCTCGTTACTACTTCGCCCAGGTTAGGTTAGACACTTACCAGCACATGGGGTCGGTTGTGCTGATATTACACTCTGCACTGTGTGCAGATACTGGTATGGGAGAGTTTGGACCGCAGTGAAGTTGCTGTCTTTAGTCCAACAGGCGACCCGAGGTAGTCCTGCAGGCGTCCGCGGGCCTTGACATCTCATTTTATCATCTCTTTTATGTTCTTTTACTTATTCAGAGATAGATTCGTGTATTTCTATTCAGACCTTATTTGTAGTAATCTTAGACAGTCTGTGAAATTGTGACACCAAATTCTGGGTAGAGTTGTATTTAGACTTCCGCAAGTTTGTATTAAGTTAAATTATTAGATTTAGTCTTCTGCTTTGTTATTGATATTATTATTTTCGCTGTTTTGATATGTTGTTTTGAAGTTATAAGGACTTAAGACGTAAAAAAGGGTAATTAAAACGGAACAGTCGGCTTGCCTAGCTTTGAGTAGGCGCCGTCACGACTGTGAAAAATCCGGGTCGTGACAATCAGCTTGTTCTTCTACCTGTCCACCTTTCTCTCTCAAACGCTTCTATTGTTGCTAAACCTCCGAAAAATTGTTGCAGCCTCTTTTCTCCAGAATATTCTCTTTGGTGATGACCAACTACACCCGTTCTGATTTCCTAAATTGTCGTTTGTACTGATGAAAAGACAAAGAACTTTCCCTTTCATCGATGTTACTAATTGTCTTTGCAAATCTCTATGGCTTATTTCTTCCAGATTAGCCTGCGCCTCCGGATTTCACCTCCGTCTTCTCTGCTTTGTCAGTATGTTGCTCTTTTCTCTTTTTTCTGTTTTGTTTATTGATGATGTTCTTCTTCTGTTATGTTAATTGAAAAAGAGAGATACTTGGGGTTCTACAGTTTCAATTGGTGCAGTGAAATTCATGCATGTGTTGGTTTTGGTTGGAGTAAATTTTTTTGTCTGATTTTGATAATAAGGATGAATTACTCTAGGTTTTATGCTAAATAGGGATCTCTTTGCTGAAAGTTTTAGGCTTTTCTCTGTTTTGACAATCAGTATGGTATCTTTAAATGCTTTCTGAGGATTAGGGCATATGATGAAATGTTGGGTATTTCATTTTAAAGAAAACATCTTCTCAGCGTAAAGAATTAATAAATTCATCTGCTTTTTCTTTTTTTATTTCTTATTTACGCTCTATCTTGAGATAGACATATTTAAGACGAGTGATAAACTTACTTGAAAAATAATATTTCATCTTACTTTATCAATCTTTTAATGAGACAGATGGGTAATACTATTGCAATAGTTGAAGTAAAGTAAGTTGATTTGGGTGCTTTCGGCTAATGATAGATTAGAAGTATGGAATGTATTCATTTCGATCTTTTAATGCATGCTAGGAAACTGTTGCTAGAGGAAGCTGCATTTCCTCTATCTTTTAATTATAATTTTTCATAGGATCATTATATACAAAACTAAGTAATTTCTTCATTGAGCTTCAGTTTCTGATCGTAATTTTTTTGGCTGTTTGATTCAGATTTTCTCAATTAAATTTAAACTCAATAAAATAATTTTTCTTAGGGAACCTTCATTTCGGGCGAATAATTTTTGTTATTGTTACTAATCTAATATTTTGGGTCCAATTATGTTTGAATAATAAAATGAATATCTTCTATAGGGTCTGAGGCTATGTTTTTCTTGAGAAATAATAAGTTGAAAATTTTGAATTTCAGGATGAGTGTTTTAGTACTTATAGATTCTAGGATGAGTGCATGCTCTATAGAACTAACAACTATATGAGATGATAAATCTAAGACGAAACTTGACAAAAAGCTTAACCGTATAAACATTACCAACTAGAATTCAACTCCATCTGGCAGAATCTACAAAAACATATCAGCCTGTTAATAATTTATAGGCTTCTCGCTTCTTTTTCTATTTTATTCTTTCAGATGAAATGAGAGAAATTTAGATTTTTTTTTTCCAACCGAAAGTATTATAGTACTTTATTTTATAGCAGATGTAATATTTTTGTTCTAAAGAACACAAGCCAAAAGATCACACTGTAATTGATATTCAGAATATATAGGATAACAAAAAAGCAGAGAAAAAAATACGAAAATAAATGCAGAATAAGATTTCTTATTATTTTGGTAGAGTTGAATGTTATTTCATCATAATACCATATTTTGATGATATTTATCAGGCATAATGCGTTTTAATGATGATATCATTTTTTATTCACAAGTTGAAGTAAATGTGCATGTATTTCTCCTGCTATTAACAGTAAGCATAATCATCCGATTCTACATTGTTTCAGAGGACTTCATCATATCCTCTCACTTCAGGGATTGCAAGATAGGAAGTCACACCTGTTGACTCCGGGAATATGTTATAGGAGGAGTTCTAGTGGTGGTTGCTCTTCGAAATGTAGAGATATTATTGCATAGAGTTAAAGCTGTAGTAGATTTATTTTATTCAATACCAAATGGTGCACACACAGAAGACATGAACGTTTAACTCACACAAAACAAGACCTATGCATCGCACTTTAGGTGAGTTGAATGGGATTTCATGAACTGAGTCTTCTTTCTCTCGCTCCTTCATTGCACTCACTTAATCTCTCTCTTTTCCCTATTCTTTTCTTTTGTTTTATGTTCTACATATGATAAAAGATGTATACTGCATTTGCGCTTAATATATTTTTCAGTTCCTTTCTTATGAGCATGTACTATAATGCAAAATATGTGTATTGACAATGCTCAACATGGAATTTTGCATGTTTTTTAGCAGAAATGTTCAACAAATAAGTGCATCTCTTGACCAGCTGTTACTACTCTCAAAATAAGTAAATTTTTTCAGCAGTCCTCTCACATGTTATTTCCTTTCATTTCAGGTGTCTTAGACCTACGTTTCTATTGGATGCTAACGCGAGTGACGCACCTGTTTTCGGTTATTTTTTGTGCATTGGTCTTGAGAAAGCTATTAGGGTATATAACAGTGCTAGAATTTCTTTGAGTAAGATACTCAGTTTTAGGTGTGCATATGTTCTGTATGTTAGAAACATATTTGAATCTTTTTTAATTTTATACCATTTTATAACTACAAAGTTCTATTGTGGCTAATTCATAAAAATTAAGTTATCATATCTAACCCTCTATGGCGCTATATTGTCGATCTCAATTTACTCTGTCAGTCATATGACTTGCAACCTTTGTTGCAAAACTATAGATAGGGGATGAGCGGTTCTATTGTTATGAGCGGGCCAGCTATTTAATAATTTGGTGAAAGAATCATCTTATGACGTGAATCAACTTCCATAAGTTGTTGCTGGTGTTACTCAATGGATGCGTTCAGTATTGAAGAACTGGAGAATGATAATGAAACAGTTGGCTCAACCAAGAGATAAATCCGTGAAATAGTCGGAATCTCAAGCTTCCTATTGAAGCTTTGACTAAACAACTATCAAATTACGTTTCATGTTGTTTGTTGGAGAAGAGGCAAATACCATTCAAGATGAATATGTGCAGTGGCGGGGTAATGTCCATTTTGTACTGCCGTTGCTGCGACTATTCTTACTGTTTTAAGTCAATTCTTCCCTTTTGTAGAAGTGACAAAGCAAGGACATTCAGTTATATTTCAGTACAAACTTTTTCATGAAAAAAATAGTGTTAGCCATGTAATTCTCAGTTGAATGTAGCTATATTAATTCCTTCTAACATGTTTAGTTGCATCTGTGTAAGTTCTTTCATTACAAAAATCTCCAAGATACATAGTGTAACGGTCCGACTGGTCGTTTTACTTTTAAGAATCTTGTTCCCCTAAATAATACTTCTCGTACTTTCTTTTATTGATTTATGACTTGCGGGAATGGTTGGTTCCGAATTTGGAAGAGTTTGGGTTGAAATCGGAACACTTGGTTCCTTAAGGTTGACTTAAAAGGCCAAGTTTGACTTCGATCAACGTTTTGAGTAAACGACATCGGAATCCGGATTTGAGGATTCCAACAGGTTCGTATGATGATTTCGGACTTGGGCGTACGTCTGGATAGGGTTTTGGATGACCCCGGGAGTATTTTGGTGCCTAATAGTGAAAGCTGATTCCTTAAGGATTTTGAAGTTCTTAAATATTTGGTTTGGGGCGGGTTTTTTCTTTATCGAGAGCCGAATGGTGTTTCGAGATTGGGAATAGTTCCGTATATCCATTTAAGACTTGCACGTAAAATTTGGTGTCAATCCGAGTAGTATAAGTATGTTTCGTTGCGTTGGAAGTAATTTGAGGAACTTGAAATTCATAAGTTTGATTAAATTGGTTTTAGGGGGTGATTTTTAGATTTAGCATTGTTTCGATCGTTCCGAGGGTTCGAGAGAGTCCGTTTTATGATTTCAAACTTTTAGGTATGTTCGGGCGGGGCCCGGGAGGCTCCGAGCATCAATCGAGCGAGGCCCGATTTGAGTTAGGAAATTTTGGAAGGAGCTAAAGCTCCAGATTGCTGTCATAACCACACCTACGGTTGGTCAGCCGCAGGTGCGGTCAAACCATTGCAGAAGAGGCTACGCAGGAGCGGCCCAAAGACCACAGAAGCGGTCCCAGCCCACCTGGCCAATTCAGCAGATGCGGACCCCCTCTCGCAGAAGCGAGACCGCAGATGCGGTCTTCTAACCGCAGGTGCGGAAATCGCTGAAGCCAGTGCCTTCATTTAATACGGGAATGTGTCATTTTTGACACATTTCCACCATTATTTGGGCGATTTGGGAGCTTTCAAAGAGAGAGATTCCACCTAGCATCTTGAGGTAAGTTCATCCTTCTTATTTTGAGTTTAATAATTGAGTCTTGGGTAGATTAACAAACAAAGATTAGGGAAAAATCATGGGGATAGAGCAAAACCTAGGGTTTTAATAAAAATTAGATTTAACCACAAAATATATTATGGAATGGAGTAGAAATCATATAATATTGATCCTTAGGTTATAGAAAACAACTTTCTTTTAAAAACTTCGGAATACGGGCACATGGGCCTGGGGTCGGATTTTAGGATACTTGTGTTTAGGGTTGAGAAATTACTTTAGTAGTTAAAATGTGAACTCTTGAGCTTGTATTGACTAGTTCCTACCTCGTTTAATTAGTCTTGTATCGTTCGGCTCCAAATTGAGGGTTTGAGCAATTTCTCGACATTGGGAGTACGATTTGGAGCGAGGCGAGTCTCATTTCTAACCTTGTAAGAGGGAATTGTCCCCATAGGTGAGTTAATTAATCACGTGTTGCTAATTGTGGGGGCTACGTACGCACGAGGTGACGAGAGTCCGTGCGTAGCTACTATTATGTTAATTGTCCGGGTAGTTTAGAACTTGTATCATGCTATATTTGCAAATGTCTATATCATTTCATGTTAATGAGATCACTTAGGGCTTGTTAGGGGTTGGAAATAAATGTATGAGAACGCATACACTCACTTGATAACTTGTATGAATTTATTTGACTATGATTGTGCCTTATGTGCCCTCTTGATGATAATTGATATTTGTGGATCGGGCCGATCGCCTCAATAGAAATAGATGCATCTATGGTCCGCGCTATTCGACCCTCTAGCAGTGCACATTTCCTTTTATGTTGGACCGGTCCATACGACCTCGGCATAATGTGCGCATGATATCTACGTGAATTCTTATTCATGACTTGCCTTGCTAAATGCCCTGAAATATAAATGGCTAACTGTGATAATATCTAGGAAATGACCTATCATTTCTTGCTATAAATTGTTATTTATTTGTGACATCCATGCTTAGTATAACACTTTTTTATATTAATTTATCCTAGTAATTTTCAAGTCAACCTCTCGTCTCTACTTTTTCAAGATTAGATGGGATACTTACTGGGTACACATTGTTTATGTACTCATACTACGCTTATGTACTTAATTGTACAGGATCTGAGGCAGGTATATCTGGTTACCAGTCTGGTGCGCATACTTGATCGTAGTCTGAGATTCCACGGTGAGCTGCTCCCTTCCTATGCCATTCAGCAGCATAATGGAGTCTCTCTTTACTTTTGGCTGTCTATTCTATCTCGGACAGTAGAATAGATTTATTTTTTTGTATATTCTACTGGATGACCATATACTTGTGACACCAGGTCTTAGCACGCACATTAGTAGACTATTCTTTTGGGATTGTATGATTATTAATGTACGTAGCTAATTACCACCTGTTTTAAATTCAAAATTTAGAAATTGCTATAACTGTTTTGGTATAGAAAAACTAGAACTTGTTAATATTTTCGTGTTGGCTTGCCTGACAACGATGTTGGGCGCCATCATGACCTATAATAAAATTGGGCCGTGACAACATGGTATCAGAGCACTAGGTTCACGTAGGTCTCACAAGTCATGGGCAAACCTAATAGAGTCTTGCGGATCGGTACGGGGACATCTGTATTTATCTTCGAGAGGCTATAAGGTGTTAGGAAACTACTCTTTATTCATTTCCTATCGTGCAGTGGTTTGTATACCAAATTTCCCTCTTCTATTCTCTAACAGATGGTGAGGACACGCATGGCAGATGTTCCAGACCCGGGAGGAGCTGCTCCCCCAGTTGCTAGAGGTCGAGGCAGAGGTCGGGGGAGGGCACCGGCCCGAGGTAGGAGATGAGGGCATCCCAGAGCTGTACCAGTAGCACCGCCAGCGGATCGTGCGGGAGATCCTATCATTGAGGAGTAGAGCGAGGTGCCCGCAGCTGAGCCTACACCGGTTGACTTCATGACAGCACCAGGTTTCCAAGAGGTCATGGGTCGTATGTTGCGGTTCATGGACACTATGATTCAGGCTTATTTCCAGCGGATCCAGCTACATCACAGGTAGGAGGGGGAGCACAAACCCCTACTGCTCAAGCTCCTGGCCATGCAGCTGTAGTGTATCATACTCCGGGTGTACTACCCGAGAATGGGGATTAACCAGCTGCTGCAGTAGTGCCCGAGCCCAGACCAGCTACGGATGGTGATTCACAGAAGTTAAGACAGATGGACTAGGCTACACCCTCCTGTCTTCGGAAGGGAGCGTCGTGAGGATGCCCAGGATTTCATTGATAGGTGTAGGGACAGACTGCACAACATGAGGATATTGGAGTCGCATGGGGTTGACTTCACTACTTTCCAGCTGGAGGGTAAGGATCGTAGATGGTGGCAGTCATATGTTCTTAGCATGCCAGCAGGTTCTCCTCCCATCACTTGGAGTCAGTTCACACAGTTATTTCTAGACAGGTATATCCCACACTTTGAGAGGGAAGAGCTACGATATCAGTTTGAGCAGCTTGAGTAGGGTCAGATGTCTGTGACCGACTATGAGGTGAGGTTTTTTGAGTGATCCCACCATGTATTGATAATACTTCCTACTGATGCGGAGAGGGTGCTGAGGTTCGTCGCAGGGTTGCATTCTGGCATTAGGGCCAACATGGCCCAAGAGATGGAGATGAGGAATTCTTATCAGCTAGTGGTGGAGATTGCTCGGAGGATCGAGGGCTACTATCTTAGAGGTAGGGAGTAGATGCAGCAGGACAAGAGGGATAGATTCTCTGGAGAGTTCAGAGCTGCCCTAGCTAGAGGTAGAGGTCAATTTGGGAGGGGTCAGCCTAGAAGGCCCCCATATTCTGCACCACCACCTACTCGGGGTGCTCCAACGCGCCCATATTTCAGCACCATACCAGAGAGTTCTTATTGCCCGCCAGCTATTCAAGGTTCCTCCAGTGGGTATTCAGGTCCCCAGGGTTCTTATAGTTCCTATTTCAGTGCTATGCCGAAGAGTTCATACCGTCCACCGACTATTCAGGTTTCTTCCAGTGGGTCTACAGGCCATCAGGGTCAGCCGTCAGGACAGTAGGCCGCCGCACCGTAGGGTTGTTTTGAGTGCGGAGACTTGGGTCATATGAGGAGGTACTGCCCCAGACTTCGGGGCAAGACAATGTAGCAAGGTCAGCAGCCCACGATTTCAGCACCGGTTGCCCAGTCGTCTAGAGGCGAGGGGACAGAGTGGTAGAGGCCATCCTAGAGGTAGAGGCCATACAGGGAGAGGTCAGCCAGTTACTGCCCAGTCAGG